TCATAACCTCCCTGAACCATAGTTTCCTCATATATATTGAAGTATACATGCTCTTTTCTAAATGCATAAACTTATAACCATTTTCCCACTTGATAGGCATTCACGTAACTGAAAGCAACTATCATGTTTTTGCTGATTCTTTATTTTTCCAGACTAAGCATTCCTAGTTCCTTTAGCCATACTTCATGTAACATGGATTCAAGGCACTTCAATATCCTAGTTGTTCTCCTCTAGATGCTCCAGATTATAAACATCCTTCTTAAAGAGTGGTGCCCAGAACTGAATGTGGTACTCCAGATATTATTTGATTATGACAAAATATGGAAGGATTATCATTCCTTATTTCTTAAAGCTGTGCAATACAACCCAAGACTGCATTCATTTTTTTGGCAGCTTCATTCCACTGCTGACTCATATAGAACTTGCAGCCCACCAAAAATCCCCACATCTTTTTCAGACGAACTGTCATCTAATTTCCCTCATGCTGTCCTTGTGAAGTTTATTTTTTAAACCTAAATTTAAATTTATCTTAATTAAATTTTATTTTTTTAGATTCAGCCCAGTTCTGTAGCTTGTCAGGATCTTTTTGGATCCTGACTTTGTCATCCAGCATGGTAACTATGTCTTCTGTCTTTTTGCCATCTGCAAGTTTAACGAGCATAGCATCTATGCCTTTTGTTCAAGTCATTGACAGAAATATTAGACAATATAGGGCAAAGCAGAAACAATCCTCTAGAAAGCTGCTAAGTTGACATTGAGTGATTAGCATCTACTTTTTGAGCCTGGTTATTCAGTTCTAAATTCTGCTAGTTACAAGTTATTGGTAACTTACTAATCTTGCAACATAAGAGATAGAGAAAAGTGAAGGCAGCAGTAAGAAGGCACAGAGGGAAACAAGGTCTATAAATACCACAGATCTTCAGAAAATATTAGTTAAATAGAGTATATGAAAATTACCTTTGATAAAAGTCTCTTTTCTAGAAGACAGCAGTCATGAGAATTGCATGGAATAAGTGGTAGTAGGGAACTATAGGCAGAGAGCTTTGTAGGCCCAAGTTAAATGACCACTGGGATTAGATGGAGCAAAAGGGGGGAGGTTGCTTGTTTCATGTGGCCCTTGTCGCTGGTGATCCTTCCTTTCATTCATTTGTTGAACAAGTAGTTGTTAAATTACTGCTGTATATATACGTGTGTGTGTGTGTGTGTGTATGTATGTGTGTGTGTGTGTGTGTGTGTATATATGTATATATATATATACATATATATATACACACACACACACACACACATACAGAACTGTTTTCAATTGTTCCTTCAGCTGATAAAAATTTAAAGTAGCAAAAGACAGTTTCTTTCCACTAACTCTTGCTTTTCTCACAGGAGCATATAGTCTACACTGGGAGATAAGATACAGCATACATGAGAGTTAAAGTATAATGCAAGACAGTATAATTTTGCCAAAATGAGACCTATAGACACAGAATACATTCATAATAGAAAATCAATTTAGACTAGAGAAGATAAGACCTTTTAGAGAGGTGACATTTGGTCAGGAATTAGAAGGGTAGGTAGGATTTTGATAGGGAAATAACATATGGAATGACAAAACAGGAGGAAGCATGGCATTTCAATATACATTGAGATACCAGTTAGAGTAGAAGGTTGTTAAAGGGGGCTAGTAGGAGATAAAGTTATAGGTAAGGTGGGGTTGATTTTATCTTGTAGGCAGGCAGGAGGCATTCAGAATTTTTGAGTAGGGCCATGACATGAGGGAATTGGTATATTAATGGAAGATGAAGCAGACCGGGATGTGTAGGATGAATTGTTAATTCAGTGTTTTGTTTTTAAATCAAATTCTGGAGTGGTAAAACCAACAAAAAGTTGGGTAAAACAATTATTCCAGCCCAAGACAGCTTAGGAGGTCAGCAGGAAAGGTCTATCTCACTGGGATAGTGGTCAGGCCTGGGGCACTGCAGGTTACCCTGCAGCACCATCAGTGGACCTTGGAGGCAGCTAGCTGCATTGACAGCAACAGCAGCAGCAGCTTTGGAAACTTTCAGCTCACTGATCGTGGGTAGGGTTGAACAACTGATTCAGAAGGAGATTGCAGGGGACCCTTTTCTGGCACTGGATCCAGGACCCTGCTGCAGTGCTCATATGCAGTTCTAGGTCACAGTCTCAGGGCCAAAAGAAGCGATAGCACTTGTGGCCACAGGGGAGTTAGGGTCCTGATTGGGGTCCCAAGATAGAGCAGTGCCTGTGTTCTCTCACAAGGAAGTAGGGAGACTGGTCTCAATTCCAGGACAGAGGGGAACACTAGTAATTGTGGCTACAGAGCAGGGCCACAGTCCTACTGGTCACAGTCCTAGGGCCTAGGCGGAGTGCTAGCACTAGTGGCTACGAGGAAACAAGGTCCCTTCCTAAGTAAAAATCAGAACATAGGCCAGGAGAGCAGTGACCATACCTTTCCTTAGATCACTTAGATCACTTAGAGGCACTGAAAATCTGTAGTTCCCAGAGCTAGCTGTGAAAACAGCAGTAAGAAAGTCCTGAAGCTTGGGGTAATGCCTCCTTCACCCTGGGAGCATAGCCTAACTTTGATATAAAATTCAAAGTCAAGAAATAGGCTGGGAAAATGAGCAAATGACAAAAACAGAACCTGACCATAATAAGTTACTATGGTGACAGGGAAGATCAAGACACAAACCCAGAAAACAAAGATGTTGAAGCAGCTACAAGCAAAGCTTCAAAGATAAAGGTAAATTGGATGGACAGAAGCCCAACAAGAATTCCTGGAAGAGCTCAAAAAGGATTTAAAAAATCAAATAAGAGAGGTGTAAGGAAAAATTTGGAGAAGAAATGAGAGTGATGCAAGAAAATTATGAAAAGAGAATAACGGCTTGGTAAAGCAGGCACAAGAAATACTGAAGGAAATAATACCTTAAAAAAAAGAATTGGTCAAATGGTAAAAGTGGTAGAATTGGGCAACTGAAAGCTCCATGAGACATCAAGAAACAATAAAACAAAGTCAGAAGAATGGGGGAAAAAAATAGAAGCAAATGTGAAATATCTCATTGGAAAAAACAACTGACCTGTAAAATAGATTGAGGAGAGATAATTTAAGAACTGTTGGACTACCTGAAAATTATGATCAAAAAAAGAGCCTAGACATCATATTTCAAATTAAGGAAAACTGCTCTGATATCTTAGATCCACAGGATAAAATAGAAATTGAAAGAATGCATTGATCATCTCCTGTAAGACATCCCAAAATGAAAACTTCCAGAAATAATATAGCCAAATTCCAGAGCTCTTGGGTCAAGGAGAAAATATTGCAAATAGCCAGAAAGAAACAATTCAAATGCTGTAGAGCCTACAGGCAGGATCACACAGTATTTAGCAGCCTCCACATTGAAGGAGTGGTGGGCTTAGAATATAATATTCCAGAAGGCAAAGGAGCTAGGATTACAATCAAGAATAATCTATCCAACAAAACTGAGTATAATCCTTCAGGGGGAAAATGGGATATTTAATGAAATAGAAGACTTTCACTAATTCCTGAGTAGAAAATTCACCTTTCAAGTGTAAGACTCAAGAGAAGCATAAAAAGGTAGTAAACATGAAAGAGAAATCATAAGGGAATCAAAAGGGTTAAAATGTTTCCATTCCTGTATGGAAAGATGATAAGTATAATTCCTAAAAACTTTATCATTATTAGGGCAGTCAGAAGGAATATACATAGAGGACTTGGGGTTAAGTTGATTATAATGGGATGATTTCAAAAAAAAAATTACAGGGTGAAAAAGAAGGATGCACTGGGAGTAGGGGGAAGGGACAGAAAGAACAAGGAAAATTATCTCACATAAAAGAAGCATGAAAGGAAGAGCTTTTGAAATAGAGGGGAAGATGGGGGTATGAACAGTGCTTGAACCTTACTCTCATTGGAATTGGCTCAGAAGGGAATAACATACACATTCATTCGTGTATAGAAATCTATCTTACCTATAGGGAAATGTGAGGGGAAGAGGAGGGGGCTGATAGAAGGGAGAGTGGATTAAGGGAGATAATGGTCAGAAGCAAAAGAGACTTTTGAAGAAGGACAGGGTCAAAAAGATGAATATAGATATAGCTGACAGATAATATTGAGATAACAAAGCTTATGAATTGAATGGCTTTAGTCTTCATAGACAAAGGGAGATTAGATTATTTCTGAGATTGAAGGCATGATGATGGGACTCTAACCTTGTAGAAAGCTTAGAAAAATTGTTAGGAGAAATATGCCAGGGAATCAGTTAGATGAAGAAAAGCATTACTGAACTCACTTCATTCCACAAATATTTTTTGAGTGTTTTTTGGAGTAATGTACCTTTCTGTGGGAGAGATATGTGTAATTTAGTGTCAATACCAGAAGTATTCCATTTCCTGAGTGTAGGAGTGTTGATGAAATGTGGTAATTCTCTGCATTTATTCACTTAAAATTAGAATCAGTCAGTTAATAAACATTTGTTGTTCACTTGTCTCAGTCATGTCCTACTTAGTCTTTGTGACCCCATTTAAGGGTTTGTTTGGCAAAGATACTGGAGTGGTTTGCCATTTCCTCCAGCTCATTTTACAGATGAAGAAACTGAAGGTAATAGGGTTAAATGACTTGCCCAGGGTCATAAAGGAATAAGTTTCTGAGGCCAAATTTGAACTCAGGAAGATGAGTATTCCAGACTCCAGGACCAGCACTCTATCCATTGTGCCACCTACCTGTCCCAGTAAACATTGAGTGTTTACAAAAAATGCTGCATGCAATGTGCTAAGTTTTGAGGATACAAATACAGAGAATGAAACAATCTCTATTTACAAGAAGCTTCTATTCTAATAGAAGAGACAAACATGCATACATATACACATATATGACTATATATGCAGAGAGAGAGAGAGAGAGAGAGATTGAGATTTACTGGTTATGTGATTGAGGGCATGTCACTTAACTTCTGTTTGCTTTAGTTTGCTCAGCTGTAAAATGGGGATGATAAAACCTCCCAGAGTTGTTATTTTAAGTGTTAACACAGACCACCCTGGCCTGAAGGCCAGGTATGTTACATTTCACTCCTCTCCCAGAGTACTCCAGTGTCATTAAGAGAATGATTGGAGGTGTGTCTAGGTTCTCTGAAAATGTCCCCACTAATGTTGTTTCTTCAGTTGTTGGTGGGAGTCCTGCTACACCCCTAGTTAGATTTAGCCACCAACAGTCACATTAACTTATATGCTAAAATATTCACTTCAAAAAATATAATCACATATATAAATTTATTCCTTTGAACATGTGGGAGGTATAATTCCCCACCCAGCCTCCCCCCTCCTTTGCACCACCTCAGTTTCTGGAGAAGAAAAGAGGATTACATTCATATTTTAGCTCATTTCCCATAGGACATACAGTGCCAGTTCCAAGTCCAAAACCCTTGTTGGCCTTGGGTTTCAGGCACCCTGGCTTCTCTGAGCTTCCTTGTTGGGCTGGCTACAGCATCCTACTTGCATTCCTGGCTCCAAGGTTGCCGTGGCTCAAACTCCTGGATCGGATGGGGATGATTGCCAGCATCTGAAACGGAGAAGGACAAATGAAAAGGAACAGAGACAGACACCTAAGTCCATTTCTTGGAGCCTAGGTAAAAGAGAGAGCAGAAGAAAATCTTCCTCTCTCACTATTCAGTTTACAGTGCCCCTTTGGAATTGGGCTCACAAGATTTTGATATACATTTGTTAATTCTTCATCATTAAACCACACTAATCACATTAAGTATTAAGTATAATTTTTGACAAATGGTTAATTTTTCTAAGTATAGTGTTGATATAGCCCATGACTTTTAAATGGGGTTTAAGTCAGGGGAATTCTCAGGGCAATGAAGCATGTTTATCTCCACATCTTAGATACATTTCCTAATCTTTTGTGATGTGTAGCATGATACATGGCCAGGATGCAGTACTGTTTTTCTATTTGGGAATTTCTGTAATTTTGGAACAGTTTTACCTGCTATATGTCAATTGATTTATTAGAATTCATAATTTCTTCATTGGGGACGAGTTCCAAATCCACTGGAAATTTTAAAAATCCTCAAACATTTTTTGGGTGGATGTTTTACATCCTGATGAAGATGCACAGATCTTCTTAAAGGTTCACTTGGACATCTGACAGTGGTTTTAATATAACCTTGAATGAAGAAATGAGCACAATTAACTCTCCAAAGCTGTCTTCCTGTCTGACTGGATCAACAGTGAACCTGTGCTAGAATACCTGTTAATGTTAGGAGCCCTCCTGTGTTCTCCTGCCCAACAAATGGTGTTACTTGTGCATTTACCTGTGAAACAGCCCATAAGAGGTTTTTATTTATAGCAACTATTATCAGCTTAAAAAAACCCAAAAAAAACAGGGGCAGCTAGGTGGCACAGTGCATAGAGCTCCAGCCTTGGGGTCAGGAGGACCTGAGTTCAAATGTGGCCTCAGACACTTGACACTTATGTGACCCTGGTCATGTCACTTAACCTCAATTGCCTCACCAAAAAGCAAAAACAAAAACAAAAGAACAACAACAAAACCTGTTTTTCTTCTTCTTCTTCCAACTTCAGGAAGCTTGTGACACACTGTAAACGAATCAGTTACAATTCCTCCAGCTTCCAAGTCCCTCTGAAGATCTTTGCTTATTTTTTAAGAACAGATTTGCAGCCATAGTTTTCCAATTCTTAATATTGTTGATTTTCAACCCCACTTTACTTCGCCTTTAGTGAGCCTGATCCTATTTCATTGTGGCCTTCAATGATCTTTAAATGCTTGACTTCACCACACCAACAGCTGCTATGATGTGTCTATGTCATTGAAATGTGCTCTTTAAGAGCTACAGTTTTTGTACATTTCCCTGAAGCAGTTATTCTGAAAATCACAGAATTAAAAACACAGTAAAAGATAGCAGTGAAACAGATATGACGTGAACTAAGTAACAGCTCATTCTGGTTTCAGGGTGGCATTAGTAGAAACACTGGCATGACCATTGCTGTCACAAAATGAATTCTTATCCAAATTATTACTTGTCCTAAATAGTTGGAATAGCACTGAATGATTATGCTCTAGAATTCAATTCCCTTATTTTCCAGCAATTTTCCCCTCTTGACAACTAATATTATTTAAATTGAAATAGTGAAATCTTAATAATATCACATTAGTACAAATCCTGTTATTTTTATTAGGAAATTTTTGGTGGAAGAAGGGGAGTTTTGAAGCAATTTTTGAAAGAGGAACAGAGAGGAAGTTTGGGAATGTGATAAAAGTAAGAGGGTATCATAGAATCTTTTACCCCTCTTTTATCAATTGTTTTTATTTTTCAGGGTTTATTACCACAGTTATGCCTCTGTCTGGCACCTTTGTATGTACTGGTTGCTAAAGGTATTATTAGTTAAGACAGAAGTTAAGCATTAAGACAAAACACTGAGGTTGATCACTATATTGAGTGACATCTTTTTATTAATTTTGGTACAGCATTTTTAAAAGTGTCTTCCTGGAGACATTGTGACAGGTATCTGGAAGCAGTGTTGGTAATCTAGGTAAATTATTGTTCAGTGTCAAATTATTATTACAACTTTCAAAAAAAGGAGTGAGGAATAAAAGATCTTTATTAAAAAAAACTTTACAGTATCATAGCTTAAAGGAGAGGTCAGGATTTTATTAACTATTAAGACATGCAATTAGGACTGACCTAGTCTTTATTGTGCTTTGAAGCGGGATAATACTCAGGAAAAAGAAGGGAAAATAAGAAGTATTTGTAAGTTTTAAGAGGAATGTTAAGGCAATCTTATAGGGTTACAAACTCTGAAATTTTTCTAGACCTAAACTAGGTATTTAGTTAAAACTCATTTAGGACTTTCTGAGGCACTGGAAGCCTAGAATCCATTTTAACCTATATTTAAGAATGAAGATTTAACTAGATAGAATGAGATATAAAAGCAAAGAGGAGTTAGAGAGAATTTCCTACTGTACCAAAGAGGGGATTTTGAATTTTAAAAAGGGATAATAATGGGCAATTAACTTTTTTAAAAGGCACATTATTATTATTATTATTATTATTATTATTATTATTATTATTATTATTATTATTATTATTATTATGGGTTAGGCAGTGGGGTTAAGTGACTTGCCCAGGGTCCCACAGCTAGTAAGCATTATGTGTCAATCTGAGGCCAGATTTGAACTCAGTTCCTCCTGAATTCAGGGCAGGTACTCTATCCACTGCGCCACCTACCTGCCCCCACGTTCTTCTTTAAGCTTTAATGCTGATGTGGTATACCTAAAGAGGCATTTATTTTCAGACTGATTCTCTAGTTTGTAATTATCTAGGTTTCATATTTTCCCACTTGCTGATTTTTTTTTTTTGCTCCTTCACTGCTTATTTCCTTTCTTATAAGATAGAATAGGTAGTAAAAGAATTGAAGCTTTTAGTTAGTTTTACTACTTGCCATTGAAAAATTTATATAGGAGGAGAATGGGGTTAAACTCAGAAGTAAATATTTCAGGAATGATTTATGGGTTTTTATTTTTCATATTGTCCTAATCATCCATTACTACATATGAGAGTTGACATCTCAGAATAGTAATTGTTTATTACTGCAGTTTTCTAATTGCATAAAATGTGTCAGAAAATATAATAGATGTAGCAGCAGCCGCAATAGCAGCTAGCATTTATATAGCACTTTAAAGTTTGCAGAGCGAGCACTTTACATATGTTAACACATTTGATCCTCACAACAGCTCTGGGAGGCAGGTGCTGTTATTATCTTAATTTACAGATAAGCAAACTGTAGCCCAGAAATGTTAAGTGACTTGCCCGGGGTCTCACAACTAGGAAACATCTGAGGCAGGATTTGAACTCAGGTCTTCTGGACTAGAGGACATGTGCTTTATTACACTGTGCCAGTTATTAAATAATTGGAGTTTATATAGTGCTTTAAAGTTTACGAAGTATTTTACATATATTATCTCATTTGCTTATCACTACAACCTTGTGAGATTGAGGCTACATATCTTATTATCCCCATTTTGTAAATGAGAAAACTGAGGCTCAGAGAGATTGTAGCTTGACCACGTTAAGCTAATACATGACAGAGGTGGTATTTGGACCCAGGCCTCTTCAGGCTATAACTCCAGAACATATTCCATTGTTGTCTAATATCTCCATAAGGTTACAACAGCATTCCAAAGAACAAAATAAAACATACTAGGATGTTTCAAGATCAATAAACGATTTGTTGTTGATTTCAATAGTTAAAGATGTATGAGGTTTTTGTTGTTGTTTTTAACTACCAAATGGCTTTCAATATCCTTATTCTCTGCCTTATGGTTTGTGGAATTAAGTATTTCCCTCCTGAAATGGCTGATGGAATTCAGAAAAATCTGAAAGGGAAGGAAGTAAATTTTTCTTTCTGTAAGGATCATTTCATATGTGGGAGAACTAACCTCAGACTGATGAAAGATGGCACTGAGACAGAAGAGGTTGGACATTAAAATCAATACCATCGCCTCCTAGCTATTCTCTGGAGTCTATTACTGAGAAGGTTTGTAAGAAGTGGGCTGACTCTACTATCCAATCAGCAGTCACAAAGGAATTGGCAGAATTAATGCTGGAACCAGCAAATCCTTTTAAACAATGAGACCCTCAAGACTTCTCAGAGGTTAAATTTCTGCAATAGAGGCTAGCAGCTTATTCTGTTGCACACACTGGAGACCTGGGGAAATCTTTTGGTGTGTCTGGACTGAGAAGAGGGGTGGGTAAGATAGTACTTAATTGCTTGTCTGTGTCCTTAATAAAAATCCTGACCCTTCCATCATGCTGGATGCTGGGAAGAAAAATCGTAATTCTATCCTAGAGTTTGGAAACTTTCTAGTGTAAATGCTAGTATAAAACCTGTCTGAAAAGGAGAGAAACAGCATTCTTCAAGGTATATCCAGGGAGACATTCAAAGGAGCAAGAGCAAAGAAAAAAATCAATCATCAGTAAAGAATATGTGCCAAATCAGAGCAAAATTAACAGAAGAGCCAAAGGCCCTTAACTGCCTGCGTATCTGCTTTCACTGGAGATCTTTTAAAAAGATTAGCTATTAGTTATAGAATTATGCACATTCTTTGTTTTGGTCTAGTCATCCTAGCCATCCATATGATGTATTTAGGAGAACCCAATTTATAGAGATGTTACTTATGGAGAAAATCTTTGCTAACAACCTACCACATCATGAATTCTGGTTTGGCCCTTAGCACAAGATTTATAAAAGGAATGAATTTTCTCAAATTTCAAATTTTAAACTACCAAATATATAATTTCAGAATGATAGAATGGTGTACCTTTGGGAATTATATATGGCAAACATCTCAGTCATACAAATACCATCTTGGTTTAAGCCGTCTTTTTACGCTCTCTTTTTTCCTTTGCCTCTTTTTGTAGTCCCATTATCCTGTTATTGCACTTTTAAAAACTCTATTCTTATTTTTTTAATAAAATTAAAAGCTATGTGTAAATTTTGTTGAGCCACTTTTCTTCTCAAGTATAAAATACTTTATCAGCATTGATTTATGTTTTGTTTATTGATTATTGACTATTGATTTAATCCCTACCAAACTAACCTTTGTCATCTGTGCATTCTGTTGGACCACAGATGATGGGGTAAAATAATATAGAAGGTGCAGGACCAGGTGTTGTTTATTGAATCAGCTGAAAAGGTTCAATCTCTTGTATACAAAGATGATGTTATAAATACATGTACTTGGATTTGTTCTTTCATTAATTAATAATGGGTATACATTTTAAAAAGTTGTATCTCATTTTCTTATTAAGTGGTATTGCCTCATAAAATAGAAGCAATAGAAGGTAAAACTAATTTTTAAAAGCTTGATAATAGTTATATAGTGAAAAAGAGCATTGGTTTTAGAGTCAGAGGGCTTAAGTTCAAATGTTGTCTTTTTCAGTACTACCTTATGTGACCTGAGTAAATTACTTAACCTCTCTAGGTCTCAGTTTATTTATCTGCAAAATGAAAATGTTAGACTAAATTACTTCTAAGATTCTTCCAACTCTGAAACCATGTTCCTACAAAAGTTATATCTGGATCATTTAGGGAAAAAACTACGAGAGCAACCAACAGACAAAAGATGGAGAAAATTTGCAGAGATCTTTATAACAAACTCTTTTTTTTTAAACATTAAGGACAGTGTACATCGCAGACACCACATTTGAACTTTAGCACTGAATATGATTACAGAAGTGGTTGAAATGACACTGAAGAGACCAAAGATAGGGAAAGCAACTGGACTAGACCCAAGTATGCAGGTTTGTTCTAGAGTCAGCACAATTGTGTGAACATTAGTATATGAATTCTTAAGGTATTAAAAGGAGGGAAAATACTAAAGACTTAGGAAAACATCTTAGACCTTTCTACTACCAAAAAAGGAAGAGGCAACCAAGAGGACATCAACAACTATTGACCCATGTGCTTATTTTCCCGTCTATGTAAAGTTTAAATGAGAATCATCTACAAACATTTGTCTGGAGGGCATCCTTTATATGAGGGTACTTTGAGAGAAGAATAAGATTTTTGTAGGTGACAGTTTTCCATATACCACACTTTAACCATCACATGCTTGAAAGATATAGAGTGTAGCATCATCCTACTTTGCTCTTATTAGTTGTTGATTTTAAAAATTGAAGGCAGGGGAAGTGGTAGAGCAAAATGCTGCCTTAAAGACTTTCTTCCAAGTTGTCTCCCAAGTATACGTCAAAATTATACACAATTCCTGGAAAAATATAACAAAACAGAGTTTTGTTTGACTTCTAATTATTAATATCAGATGAGGCATAAAACAGATGTATTTCCACTAGAGATGTTTGTCACTATCATGGAAGACATCCAGTGTCAAGCCCAGGCTTAAAAGGAAATCCCTAAAAATGGTGAGATTTTCCAAATATTCCTATTTACAGATGACATCATGCATATTAAATCAGACCTCAGAACATTCCGGAGCCTCCTGTGTGAGATCTGTAATGACTCGAAAGAATTCATCTTACCATCCACACAGGAAAAACCAAATGTACTTATTGTGCAGACTGTGATGTACAGTTAGATCAACAACCAATGGCACTCATTTCTTACTCTCTCTCTCTTTGTATATGTATGTATGTGTGTATCTTGGAAAGATGTAGCATATAGACATTGGGTTGGGCCTAAAATTGAGCAGGAGGAGAATAGTAGGTTAGATTGCTTTTGGGAAATTGTTAAGGTTTTAATGTCCCCCAAACTCCTCCCAGGCAGATTAATTAATTCTTTTAATTCTTGTATCCTTCAGGTGATGTTATATATGGCTATAAGACATGGAATATTATAATCTCTGAGGAACTAAAAATGAAATATTGCCCAGGAAGCAATGTACCAACAAGTGGTTGATATGATTATAGATCTAGAGCTGGTGGATGTGAGGAGGTTGTAACACATTGCAAAGAAGGTATCACATGATGAAGGAAAACTAGAGTAAAAAATGCTATCAAAGAAACTTATGAGTGAAAAAGATGATGACCTGGTCATATGGTAGAAGTGAGGCATAACTGGTAGATACCTCATATGTTCCATTGGTGTCCTCATGATGTAAAAAGAAATGAAGAAAATCCTCTGTGTGTTGAGTAAATGCTCTGTGGTAAACTTAATGCAAGGACATGGATAAAAGTTGTATAAGGTAAAAAGGCATAGATGGGTTGAAATCTGCATTGTTAGAGAGAATACTCACACTGATAAGATCACAGATTTGTTTATCTCCCCCAGAGCATAGTATAGTGCATTGCATATAAATGTTTGTTTGAATTAGCGAACTAATAAATGTATTATTCCTGCAGACATGAAGTGCACCCCATGTTTTTCCCTAAAGAGATTTAATAGCCTGTGAATTAGTCATGCTAATGGCATAACCACTAACTCCTCTTTAGAAGGAAAGTGAAGGTAGAATGTAGTAATTTTATTTCATTTAACTGTTCTTTAATAATTCTGAAAGGATTAATAGGGAGTTTATAATGTAGCAAGATTTTAATTTATCTGAGATTTTCATTTACCTACATTGTGTCTTCTTTGTATTAGTATGTATAATTGGCAGTTAGCTGCATTATTTGAGCCCCTAGATCAAAGGTTGTTAGCCTGGGGGTCCACAGACAGATTTCTGGGGATCTGTGAACTTGCACAGGAAAAATATTTTTATCACTGCATTTAAAAACATTATTCTGAGAGGAGCTTCCCCAAATGATCAGAGATTTCATGACACAAAAAAAGTTAAGAATCCTTGCTCAGGTCTTACTTGCTCAAGTTCTACCTATTCTACACTGATTTTATGACTCCAACCTACTTTTTCATTTGGGTGGTAGTCTTAAAACTGACATTATAAAAGATTAAGTCTAAATTAATTCATGGTTGATTGTTAATTGATGAGCATAGTTTCTCTTATTATGACACAGTCTGTGTTTTGTCTTCCAGTCTTAACCCTGCTATGTTGTCACCACTTGAACATTTTAACTTCTTAATTTATTAGTCTTTTCCATAGCAACAAGGACATATTTAAAAACACAGAATGAGTGAGGAATGAAGTGATGAATCCAGCAATGAAAGTCTTTAATGAAAAACTTTAGTGTTTCCAATATATTTTTCTTTAAAGACCCCAAAAATTTTTGTTTTGGATGTTTCCTTCATTAATCCAAATCTTTCATGATTTAGTAAGATAGTTGTTATGAGTTTCTTTGGCTGAAAAAATTCATCATCTGGTGGCCAATTCTCCAAACATAGCTAGATTGGTCCTCAAATGACATACTTTTCAAGCCTTTAAAATTTGGTGTAGGAGCTACCAGAACTTGTGTTGACCTTGTATAACCATTGAGAACCTTAGGGCATCGCCATCACTTACAAGCATCAGATTTGGAATTTTGTGAAGGAATTAAAGATACGCATAATGCTTTTTTTTTTAAAATTAAATTTGGTTATTTATTGCATCCTGTGCTTACTGCCAATGAGTATGAAATGAAAAGTGATTGGGTTTCTTTTCAACCTTTCTCATCATAACAGATCAAATGATATTACATTCACAACTGAGGTAATGTAAGAATGAAATGCAAAGGGGTCTCATCCTGAAGCCTTGCTTTGAAGGTAAAATATACAACTACTTTAGTAACAACTAGTTCAGGTTTACAATATTACCTAGCCATGTACGAATTTTGCAGTTGTTATTCTATAATTAATTTAGTTGTTGTTTTGACAGCCACACACTGAAAGAGAGGACCTTTATTTTTTTTGTTTTTTGTAAAGTTTCCACTTTCTAATATCTTCTTAGAAGTTTGAAAAATGTTACCTTTGCCATGGATTTTTCCATTTGGTTACTATTATCTTTAATTTTCCTTATATTCTATTGAAACCATAGCCAAAGATAGATGTTTTTTCGGTACATCATATTGGAAGGCCATTACATAATTACAACATTGGAACTTGGTAGTTCACTATTAAACGATAGAGGAAAAGGAATGTCTACCTTTTTTTTTCTTGGTCCTTATTTATAGAAAGAAATGTCATCTGCCTTTAAAAAATGATTTAAAATGGGTAAGAATGGGAATATATTTTCCTTCCCATTATTTTTAATCATTTTTAAAAGGTGAGCCACATTAGAGTTATGCATAACACTTTCAAAGAAATCTGGACAAGTAATAGAAAATTGCATTCATTTTCAACCCCACCTCCCATGTTTCCGTTTTAATAGTTCAGTTTTGGAGCGTTCTTGTTCTGCTGAAATTTTAATCAGGGAGTTGGCAAACTATAGCCTGTTGGCCAAATCCAGCATGCTGTCTGTTTTTGTATGATCCTACAAGATAATCATTCTTAACCCCAAATTCTAATCCATTTCTCAGGAGTTACTTTTAAAAAGAAAAATTCTGGTTGGTTTAAAAAAAAGCCATTGATATCCTAGAAGTTTGTTTTATGGTAGTAAGTTTTAAATAGCCTTGTCTTTTTACCTTTAGAGAGGCTGAAATCTTCAATTTAACAATCTATTTGAGGAACAGGTGAGTTCAGGTACATGGGATTATAGAGGGCAGTGTTGTTGTAAAGTAGAAAGTAAGGTTAATTTCATGTGTTAGTAATTCTAGCACCATAGTGAAACTTACATAACTTTCAGTATCTGGGAATGTTAAATTCAGTGAGCATACAGTTTTGACAAAATCACATTTGCTTTATCTAAACCTCTTCCAGATCTTACCCAAAGGTCATAGGTTGATGAGCAACTGTGACATACCTATTGATTTAAGGTCTGCTATAATACTAGTATTTCTTTTCTCAAAAACAAAATAAGGCCTACTGTGTACATAACACTGTAGAGTTATAAAATGTTAGAAGTTCTATACCTGTGCTTTATTGGAAGAAATAAGACATACTGGTCCTTGTGGTATTCAAGATTTTTATCTTAAGAGGACATAAGGAATCAAATTTCAAGTTATGTGAAAGGGAAGAAGATACCAAAGGCTCAGAAAAAAATCTGAGACCTCTTTATTGCCAGAAAATAAAAGGTGAATAAGTAAATATTAAGAGCTACTGCCTTCTATGCCTACTTTTCCATTTCTACAGAATTTTTATGGGAATAATCTGCTTGCTCAGCAAGAGCACAATAAAGGGACAGACCAGTAAGCTGTTACGAATGATATTCCAGAGCAGCCCTTAGTTTTATAGCCATACAGTTGACTGAAAGTATAGAGGATACCAAATACCACCGTGCTTGTTGTTTGTTATAATTTTTTTTTTCATTTGGGATAGCAAAATGCCACCTTTAAGGCCTTCTTCCAGTAGTTACTCTGGGTGTTTTAGTGGATTGTAATAGGATTTTCAGCAGTATAATGTGGCAGCCAATCTTGGACTACATTGGAGTGGCATAGCTTCCAAGAATTAACAGGTAACATAGTACTTTTTGTACCCTGTCTCCTTGTTAGACCTCATTTAGATTTAGGATTATTGATCACCACAGTTTAAGAAGGATGTTGATAAAGTTAGAGAGATTCCTGAGAATGACACTGAAGATGGTGAAGGGTTTGAAACCATGTCACATGAGGGTCAGTTGCAGAATGTGGAGATAATTTATCTGAAGAAGAGAAGATTTAGGGAAGAAAATAATTTAACTAAATCAATCAACAAGAATTTATTAAGTACCTGCTATGTGCCAGGCACTGCATTAAAACAGCTCTTGACCTTCAGGAACTTAAAATCTAGCAAGGTTAGTGTAGCATGATTTGATATTGATGAACATTCTAGGTTTTAGTAATCACTGCTTCCCTTTCTAGATGTTCACCAACCATCTCTTTAATGATCAGTTCTAGAATTTTCCAGGAATTGAATTCACACTAATTGGCCTATAGTTTCCAGACTGTCTTCACTTGCATTTTTTGAAAATGAGTACTTTTACACTTCTCCAATCTGGTGGAGTACCTCTCCCGTTTTCCACAGTTTTCCATATATTCCTGGTAATGGCGCAACAGTTACATTTGCAATATTTTCAGGACCTGGGAATTTAATTCATTTGGATCAGGTGATTTAAATTCATCAAGAGGGTAACTCAGTGTTCTTTATACTATTTCCTTACTTATCTTGGCTATCACTCCCCTCTTAGTCATTTTTTTCTATTTTCTTTGTATTCCCAGCATTTAGCTTGGAACATAGTAGGTACTTAATAAATACTTGTTGATTGATTGATTTGTTCTGATATTGTTAGTTCTGCTTGGCAGAAAAGACAGAAGCAAAAAAACATAAAATATTCAATGCCAAAGATATCAGTGATCTATAAAAGTATCATGTATCTGGGTGAGTGGTTCAGAGAGGAAAGAGAGATTAATTTGGCCTGAAATGATTAAGGGTGACTCTTCGGGGGCCAACTAGGTGGCCCAGTGGATAGAGCCCTGGCCCTGGAGTCAGGAGGACCTGAGTTCAAATGAGGCCTCAGATACTTGACCCTAGCTATGTGACCCTGGGCAAGTCCAACCCTGGTTGCCTCACCAAAACAAACAAACAAAAAAGATATCTTCAAAGAATGACTTCTTGGGAGATGAGCTGAGGCTTGAATGTGAGAAAAGTTTGGTTAGGTGAAGAGAATGGGGAAGGCATTAGGTATGGAGATAAAAATGAGCAAGTTGTATTCATTACATGGTAAGTAAATCTGTGTGGCAAATCTGAGGGTTCATCAGTCAACAAACTTTAAGCACCTACTATGTGCCAGACATGCTAAGTATTGGGGAGAAAAAGAAAGGTAAAAAATGATCTCTGCTCTCTAGGAGCTTATATTCAAATAGGGAAGACAACATGCAAAGAACTGTATACATGTAAAATACATGACAGGGTAAATAGAAGATCATTTTAGAGGGAAGGCACTAACAGTGGAGGAGTGGAGGGGAGGGAGGGAGGATGCCAGGAAAGACCTGTTGTAAAAAGAAGTGGGATTTGAGCTGAGTCTTAAAGGAAAGCAAAAAGTGGAGGTGAGAAGGGAGGGCATTCTAAGCATGGGAAAAGCAAGTGAAAAGATATAGAGTCAGGAGATGCAGTTTCTTGGAAAAGCAAGGAAACCAATGTTACTGTATCGTAGAATATGTGGAGTGCGGAGTAAAGTGTATGAAGATGGGAGGGACCAAGTTGTAAAGTACTCTATGAGCCAAACAGACTTTACGTTTGATCCTGGACATAATAGGGAGTCACTGGAGTTTATTGAGTATGGTTATGACATGGTTAGACCTGCATTTTTAGGAAGATCACTTTGGCAGTTGAGTGGTGGTTGGATTAGGATAGGGAGAGACTTGAGGCAAGTAAATCAATTGTAAAGTGTTTGTAATAGTCCACATATGAAGTAGTTAGTGTTTATGTCAGGGTAGTTGCTATATGAATGGAATGAAGTGAATGTGTATGAGAGATATTGTCAGTATATGAACTATGAGATATGCCAGTATGGAATGAGTGTGAGTCAAGGATGACACTAAGTTTGTGAGCTTGGGCAACTGGGAGGATGGTGGTACCTTTAACAGTAATAGGTAAATTTGGAAGAGGGAAGGGTTTGGATAAAGCATGATGAGTTGTGTTCTAAATACGTTGAGTTTGAGATGTCTTTGGGACATCCTGGAACATTCTGTTTGAGTTGTACAACAGGCAATATGTGATTCTGAACTGGAGGTGAGGAAAGAGGGTAGGGCTGGATAAAAAGTTTTGAGAATCATCTGTGTAGAGGAGATGAGGATTGAGTTCATGGGAGGTGATGAGATCACCAAGCAAGATAATGTAGAGGGAGAAAAGAAGAAGACCCAAGACAGACCCTTGGGAACACCTACTGTTAGTCGGCATGACCTGGAGCAAGATCCAGCAAAAGAAACTGAGGAGTGGTCAGAAAGGTAGGAGGAGCATCAGGAGAGAGTAATATGAAAACCTAGGAGAGAGTATCCAGGAGAGAAAGGTGATCAATAGTATCCAAGAATGTAGAGAGGTCCAGAAGGTTGGAGGTTAAGAAAAGGCCATAAAAGATCATAAGAGAGCAGTTTCAGTTGGACAATCAGGTTGGAAGCAAGATTGTAGAGGGTTTAGAAGAGAGTGATAGGAAAGGAAGTAGCAGGCAGCTTTCTCAAGTTTAGCCACAAAAAGGAGAGATCTAGGACAGTAATTAGTGGTGATAATCACTCACAGGTTAAGTGAGAGTTTTTAAAGGATAGTGGAGACATTTGGGATGTTTGTAGACAGCGGGGAAGTACCCAGGAGAAAGGTCTTTGAAGATTAATGGAAGAGTAGAGATGATAAGGAGTGTCGAGATGACAGGACGGAATGGGATCAATAATGTATGTAGAAGTGTTTGCCTTGGCAAAGAGAAAGGCCACTTCTTCATATGAAGCAGGGGCGTAGGAGGAGATAGGGAGAGAAGACATCTGAGTGATTTGAGATGAGGAGAAGGTGGGAAGGGGAGCTCTTTGAGATTGGCCTCAATTTTTTTCTTTGAAGTATGAGGTAAAATTTTTAGTTTAAAGTGTAGAGGCATTTATCATAGGAGATTTGAGGAGGGATGTGAAGATTTGGAATATTGAGTGGGATCATGATTGGATTAGGGAAGTATAAAAGAAATGCCTTGCTGTAGTGGGGAACCAGTTGAGTGGGACTGAGACCACTTACCCAAATAAAAACTCAGAGGTATCTCCAGGTAGAAAACAGAAGGTTTTATTCTAGTAAGTCTCGCGCGAGAGTTGGGTGTCTGCTACCCAGGACAGACTGGAGTAGTGAGGCCCCGCACAAACAACGGCAAGTAGTATATATAGTCTTAGACAAACCACTCCAAAGAGCCCCCCTCCTCACTTGTTTGTCTCAATCTCTTTATCCTCATTGGCTGAGGCAAGAGACCTCACAGTCTATATTTGGAACCCAAGAGGTACATTTTACTCAAAACTAGCTTGGGAGCTAGAGGATTGCCTTATTTGATAAAGTTAAGGCACAAAACAACAGAGGGGGTGGTTACAAAACAAGGGAGGGGGGTGGGCAGCTGGTGCAGAACCCCCTTCCCCAAAAATGAAAGTGAAACTTAGGCCCATCTCATGCTGAAGCCTCACTACATTTTGGAGCACAGCTTACATTTCACATGTCCCATACAGAGTTGATAATTTGTAACAGATTTGTAGTGGACCCAGTCAGCATGGTTTTCTCCAGTTTCTTCAGAAGCATAGGAGGACAACAAATGGAAGGAGTAATCTAAGGTTGGATCTTGGCAGGGCATGATCAGTGATAGGATAAAGGGATGAGGGATGTGACCATAGAAAATAACAACAACAACAACAAATAACAAAGAGTTGAACTGGTTCACCAAAGGGTCAAGATAGGTAAGGAAAGAGAGTGTAGTTAGTGTAGGGCTGATGGCCTATTAAAGAACGGAAGGTGTAAGAAATTATTAGTCATGGTAAGACTGAACCACAGGGTTAGTAGTTGTGAGGCATATGGAAAGATGGAATGATAAAAGATCATGGTCAGATAAAGGAATTTCACAGTTCATGGATGTGGAAGTGGAATACTTGCCTACACTCATAGGCAAGATCAAGTGTATGACTGTTTCTGTGGAGCCAAGGTGAAATGGAGGGGTAGGTCATGGGAATTGAGTAGTCTGAGGATGTATTAGTATGGATGTTGAAGTTCCCTAGTGTGATAGCTGGTGTTGGGGTGACAGAGACTTAGCTGGTTACTGAACTCATTGAGAGTGTCCAGGGGTTTAATAGGTAACAGTTACCAGAATCTTGATTGTGTGATAAACTTAGAATTAATGAACCTCTAAGGAGGAGGAGTTTGGGAGTGAAGTGGAAGAGAGGGAGGGTCAGTAACGTCAGAGTGGGTAGCAAGAAGTGTTCTGACTCCCTCACCACAACCACTGAGTCGGGGGTATGGATGGAAGTGTAACCAGGGATGCTGTGTAATCAGGAAGGTGTCATTCCCAACAAGTCATAAGATAGAAGGAGTAGAAAAAGAAAGCTTTAATACGAAAGCAAGTTTGTTAACAGATGGGTAGATTTAGAATAGGACATTTGTGTGGGGAGGACTACGAGAGATGGGAAATGAGGAAGCAGCATTTATAAGGGGGGCATTTGAAAAATTGCAGTAGATAAGTTTGGAAAGGTAAATTGAGTATTGAATGCCTGGCTAAGAAATTTTGACCATATTCTATCAGCATTTTGGGAGCCTAAGCGTTTTGATATGTTGAAAGTAATGTTTTAAGAAGATTAGGCAGCCAGTGATGTGGACTTGAGAATAGGATAACCAGTTATGGTTCAGGTGTTAAGGGCCTGGATGAGAGTAGTTTTAGTGGAGCTAAGGAATGATTAGGAAATAAAAATCAATGGAAAACACAGATGAATTGAAGATGACTTTTGTATTTGGAGTTCAGGTGATTAGGAGAGCAAAAGGGAGCTGAAGTTATTAAGTTCAGTTCAGTTTGATAGTCATGCATTTAACTGAATTTGTCTAGTGGGCAGTTGCAGAACATGACTGTGGAGTGAAATGACAGGATTGAAGATACATGTCTGGGAGTAATCAACATAAAAGTGATTATTCAAAACATTAAAGTAGCACATTAAGAGAGAGAAGAAGACGACCAAGGAGATTTTAAGGAACTTTTAACCTGAAGAAGAAAAGATTTGGTGGGATCAAATATTTGAAAGGTTGCCAGGTAGAAGAGGTATTATGACATTCTGTTCAGTCTCAGAGGTCAGAAGGTAGTGGTGGAACAGGTGGAAGTTATAAGCAAACACATTTTGGTTCAAAGTATAGAAAAACTTCCTAAAAATGAACAGTCCAAAAATTGAATGGACTGCTTTGGGCATTAGTGAGGCTATGATTTGTGACTTACCTATAATTGAAGATGTTTAAGTGGAAGGCTGTATTACTAGTTCTTAGAAACAGTGAAGGTATCATCATTATTTAGGTAAAGGTTGGACTAGATGACCTCTGTCTTTTCCAATTCAGGCCTTCTGTGATTCTTTAACCACCTTAATTTCAGGATAGAGAGGAAAAAGCTGCAATGAAGAAAAATAAGAGGAAGAATAATAGAGAGAGAGACAAAAAACTATGATAGTCTTAATGTTTGCTTACTTGATATTTGCTGTTGCCATTGAAAAATGTTAATATATTAAAATGTGTATGGAATCTGGAAAAGTATATTTACTTTTAGTACTAAGTCTGATTTTTTAAAAAGCACACATTTTTGATGTGTTAAAATCCTCTAATAAAGAACTTTACATAAAAACCATTAGATTAGAAATAAAATGTGTTAGATTGTTAAATATTGTAAACAACCTAATTACTATACCAAATTCTAAGTAATTTTAGCAGTGCAGTTTTTAATGTGTGAATTGTTTTTCCTAGTACTCAACTGTTTTATAATTATGCCTTTCAACTGAATGGACATTATGTCCATTGCATTTGTATTGAAAAATTATTTGCTTGCTACATTAAAATTTGACAATATTATTTTGAAGGAGCTATTTCAGTGAGACAGGTAAAATTAGTAAAGATTTCTGGACATATCTGACCAAAAAAATCTAACAAACTGATTTAGACATTATTTTTAGTATCTCTCAACAAGCTAGAAATATTGCTATCATAATCAAATTGTATAGGTTTATTCCTAAGTGAAGCTAGCATTAACTACTTAGTAGTTTTAGGCATGTGATGCAGGTTTTAAAATGTGATTTGCCTATTTTAACAGGAAAGTAGCTGTTTACTTTTTCTTTTAAGTACTTTTCTGGTACTTTTTTCCTTTTTTTGTCACTATCAGTTTCCATTGACTCTTCCTTCTCTGCCCCACAGAACCATTTTTTTTAAACAAATTAAGCAAAATCAAGCAAAACAAATACATTGGCTGTCTAAAAACGTACATCTCATTCCACAGGTCAGAGGCATTATTTCAGAGTCTGAAATCATGATTTTACTGCATTGGTCAGATTCTGAAGACTTTAAATGTTGTTTTCCTTTCATTAGTTATTATGTAAATTGTTCAGGTCATGCTTACTTTGCTCAAAAGCAGTTAGTCTTGACTAGTCTTTTTTGGAGGTCTACCAAATAACTCCTGTTCATGTTGATTAATAACAACAACGTTTGCAAACCACTTTACAGATTTTTCATTTGATCCTCATCCCAGCCCTGGGAGGTAGGTACTATTATTACCCCCATTTTACAGATGAGGAAATTGAGTCAGATAGAAGTTAAGTGACAAAACCAGAGCCACATAGCTAATAAATACCTGAGGGTTGGATTTGAATTCAGGTGTTACTGACTCCAAGCCTAGCACTTTGCCACCTACAGGCCCAATACATTTTCCTTTTCTCATTCCTACAGATCCATCAGGATTCATTTTTGATTTGCAGTCCAATACTGTGCTGGCCCAGGGAGGAACCTTTGAGAACATGAAAAAGAAGGTAAGAGGGGAAATTGGGTAGTAAACTTGAGTGCCTTTAGCTGAGCAACCAGAAGAAAAAGTTTAAACATTAAACAAAGTTTCACTGTGTACCAAACAGTTTAATTACATTAGACTGAAAGGGTAGCAGCCTGCTCTGGAGTTAGAGAGGGTTCACATTATTGAATACCTCTCAGTCTTTCAAGAAACAGGCCAGTGCCAGTAATTGGTGGCATATGCATGGTTGGAAGCCAGGTCCTGACTGATTGTGGGTGTAGGGTATTACAGAGCATGGATGAAATCTTAGCGTTAGGCATGGGATTTGCGATGTGACTGTTGGGGAGTTGACAGTAACAGATAAAAGGATCTTTCTGAAGGGGATTCACATTCATCAGAAATGCTGAGAAGTTCTATTAATGATCTCTTGCCTTAGGGAGCCAAAGGCATTGAAGGACTTATCCTGAAATATATTCAGAATCACACAGTCTCAGAATTAGAAGGAATCTCAGAGTTCCTTTAGTCCAGCCCTTACTTGAAGAAAAATCTGCTTTATAACATAACTGATGAGTATTTGAGTTTTTGTTTGAAAACCCCTAGTAAGGAGGGGTCATCACCTCCCCAGACAGGCCATTTAACTTGACAATTGTTAGGAAATATTCCTTTATATCTATCCAAAATTTACTTATAACTTCTACCCATTGTTTCAAAAGAAACCTATTCCCTCTTTCACATAACAGCTTCTTAAATTCCCAAAGACAGGGTGTTTTCCAAATAGTCTTCAGGTTGAACATACACAATACTTAACCAGTTTTCATATGGCACAAGACTTTTTGCCATCATTGTTGCCCTCCTTTCTGGAATGTGGCATCCAAAACTGAACACAGTATACCAGATGTGGTCTGATGGGAGCAGAGTACAGTAGGGCTATGATTACCCTAGCCTTTGATTTCTCACTGAATGTGCTTAAGATTATATTAGATTTTTCCTTAACACATCACAGTATTGACTCATATTGACCTTATAGTGCACTGAAACCACCTGATCTTTTTTTATGAACTGCTTTCTAGCCGTGGTCATTTTTTGGACCCAAGAATAAGAATTTATGTGTGTCCAGTCAACAACCATTTATTAATCACTTAATGTGTTGCAAGCAGGGCAGCTAGATAGTGCAGTGGATAGAGTGCCAGACCTGGAGTCGGGAAGATCCATCTTCCTGAGTTCAAATCTGGCCTCAGACACTCACTAGTTGTGTGACCCCATGTAAGTCATGTAATTCTGTTTGCTTCAGTTTCCTTGTCTATAAAATGAGCTGGAGAAGGAAATGGCAAACGACTTCAGTGTTTCTGCCAAGAAAATCCTAAGTGGGGTCACAAAGAGTTAGATGCAACTGAGCAGCAACAATAGGTGTTCCAGGCATTGTGCCAGGTGCTAGAGATAGAAGTTTAATCAAATAATAATAGCTAACATTTATATAACACCCACTATGTTCTAAGTACTGTGCTAAGGCCTTTACAAATATTATATCATTTGATCCTCACAGCAACCCCGGAAGGTACAATTGTTATCCTCATTTTACTGAGGAAACTGAGTCAAACAGAGGTTAAGTGACATGCCTGAGGTCACACAGGTCAGAAGTGTCTGAGACTGGATTTGAACTCGGGTCTTCCTGACTCCAGATTTAGTGCTCTCTCCACAGTAAGAAACAATCCCTAATCTCAAGGAGTTTATATTCTGTCAGGGAGACAAGTACATATGTATAGAGAGAATATTCTATAGTACACATAGAATAAATATGAAGGGAATAAATACAAGGTAGTTGGAGGGGAGCACACTAGCTGGGGGATCTGGAAAGGCTTCATATAGTTGAGTTATGTCTTGAAGGAAGAAAGAGAATCAGCAAGGCAGAGGTTACATTCTATTTGGGGAAGCAACAAGTACATATTTAAGTATGTACATATAAACCTAACGTGAATAAATGCAAATATATACAAAATAGTTAAATACTGGGTAGTTTGGGAGATATGGGAGTGGGTAGCAGGAAAGGCTTCATGCAAAACATGGTGCTTGAGCTGCATCTTAAAGAAAGAGAAGGATTCTAGGAGTTGGAGATAAGGAGGGAATGTGTTCCAGGCATAGGGGATGGCCAGTGCAAATTCATGGAGTCTGGAGATGGAGTATTGTATACGAAGAACAGAGAGAAGATTAGTTTGGCTAGATTGTGAAGAGAGAGCAGCTATGAAGTAATGTGCATCAAAGCTGGAAAGATAGCCTGGGGCAAAATTCATTCATGGGGCTTTAAAAGCTAAACGCAGGAGTTTATATTTTATCCTGAAGGTGATTGGAAGCCTCTGGAGTTGATTAAATAGAGCTGTGCTTAAGGAAAATTACTTTGGTAGCTTTGTGTAGGATGGATTGGAGTGATGAAAGCCTTGAGACAGGGAGGCTGTTGCAGAATCTAGGTGAGAGGTGCCTAACTCAGTCTTCATCTCAACTCATATTTTAGGACTTTAATATACATATTGATGTTCCCTTAAACACCCTAGTCTTCTAATTCATCAACCATTTGAACTCTAGTGACCTACATCTTAACTCTAACCACCCAAATGAATTATCATACTTTAGATCTTACTGTCCCTGATAACGTTGTCATTTCTATCATCTTGAATTCTGAAATTCTCCATTTCTGGTCCCAGTCTCTTGTTTTTCCATTTGCATTAATCATGTTACTTTTTTTTTTTATCTTGATGATCTTCTGTCCTACTAGCTCTTTCTTTTCTCCCTTCTTTCACCTGAGTGTTTCTCAGTGTCTTTATGTAGGAGGCCATTTCAACTATAAGCTATCCTTTTCCTTTGAGTCCTGCCACCATTTATGCCTTGCCAGTACTCAACCTCTGCTATCTGACTTCCTCTTTTCTATTATTATACTACTGAATGCCACTAAAGGAAGTCACCTTAATGTGTTAGCAGCATCCACTATAAATTCAGGTTGTCTTTTTAAGTATCTTATTTTTATTGCTGCCTTTTGTTTTTAAATCACTTTCACTTAACAGATGTTCTTTCCCATTCTCCTACCCGGTGAAGCCATTCTTTGCAACAGATTTTAAAAGAGAAAAAAGGCAGTTCACCCCCACCCCAAATTCCTATCTGCAAGTATATGTGGTATTCCATACTGAGAGCCTCACATTTATGCAGAGTGGTTAAACAGACATACTCCAGAGCCAAACTTTTTGCACCGTAGAATTACATAGCATTTAGTTTTGTTTTTTATCTTTCTATTTATAATTGTTGTAGTCATGGGTATTGCTTTCCTGGTTCTACATACTTCATTCTGCATCATTTAATATGTTTTTCATGTTTCTCTCTTCATGGGCATAGTTTTTTTTTTAGGCAATTGGGGTTAAGTGACTTAGGGTCACACAGCTAGTAAGTGTCAAGTGTTTGGTCTGAGGTGGAATTTGAACTCGGGTCCTCCTGACTTCAGGGCCAGTACTCTATTCACTGCGCCACCTAGCTGCCTCCTATAGTTTCTTACATCATAGTAATATTCTCTTACATTCATGCAGCACAATTTATTTTAACCTACCTCCAGACAGTGGACAGTTGATGTATAATGGTCTGTTTAATTTCTAGTTCTTTGCTCCCACAAAAAGAGCTGCTGTGAATATTTGGTGTATATGTTACCTTTCCCTCAAACTTTAACCTCCTGGGGGTATATGCCTAGCAGTAGGATCTCCAGATCAAAGACTATAGATATTTGTTACTTTCGAGGAGGAGCTTGATTCTAAATTGCTTTCCAGAGTGGTTGGACCTATTAATAGCTCCACCAAAAATGTATTTGTTAATGTGTCAGTTTTTACACTTTTCCATTAATGATAGTTTTTTTCTCATATTTGCTGATTTGTTAGGTGTGAAGTGAAACCTCAGAGCTGTTTAATTTTACCTTTATTAGTAGTAATTTGGAGTACTCTTCTGTATGATTTTTAATACTTTGCAATTCTTGTTTTGAGAATTGTTTGTTTATATCCTCTTACCATTTATCCAATACAGACTGAGTTCATGTTCTCTAATCTCAACTAGGGCCTCATTGCAACACTGCAGTCCTTTATGTTGTTCCTTGGTATGGTTTTCTGAATGGCTGTTCTTCACAATCCCCTCAATCTAGAGTTCCCTTAACCTTTCTCAGCAGATAACTTTGCCTACTATTTTACCAAGAAGATTGAGGCTATCTTTGTGAAGTCCCCTCCATCTCCTTTACTCCATACCTCAAAACCCCTCTACATTTTTCTTTTGTTCCAGCTTCCAAGGAAATGGTGGCCCTTCTGAAGAAAATCACTCCTTTTACTTGTGTCCTTTATCCTACCTTCCTCTGTCTTTTTGGGAATTTGACCGAGTGGTCATTCCCTCCCTCCTGTAATCTTCAGTCTCTTCCTTTCTCCTTGCTCCTTTCTCATCTCCTACATACTTCTCTAGGTCTCCGCCATCCTTAAAAGACATTCCCCTTCGTGACATATCTTTCTCTCCTTTCAATGCCAATCTCTTGGAGTTATCTATACCTGATGCCTCCAGCAAGCATTCCTTAAAATAAGGCTTCCAATCCCACCATAGAACTGAATATGTTCCCTCCAAAGTGGTACCAGTAACCTCTCTTGTTAAAACAAACAGACCGATAAATTCCAATTGATATATTTTGTTTGCCTAAGTTTTTCTTCTATAAGTTCTCTCTCCCACAGAGCCATTCCACATAATGAATTTTTTTAAGAAAAAAAGGGAAAAAGTCAACAACTCATCTGGAAAAAAAATCTGAAAATATATGCAGTGTTCCTTACCAATGACTTAATCCTAATGAATGGATGGGTAAAAGAACATATATAGTAACAGATCATTTCATTAAAGATAATTAACTAGGAGCTGTTTTTTAAAAAATAAAACAGATAAGCCACTATGTTGATTTTTTTTAAAGAGGAAAGCCAGTTTACCAGTATCAAAAATGAAAAGTTGAATTTATAACAAATGGAAAAGAAA